TTGTGCGGTGGCGCTCCCGCGGCGGGAGTATGCGCCGAGATCCGCGGCAGGGCGGAACACGCGCGGCCCGGGCGGGGATGAAGCCGCCGCGCTCCGCGGGGAAGGTTCCCCGCATGGTCCCACCTACCAAGCGCATCGGGAAGGACCGCGTTCGTCCTGGCCGCAGTTCACAGGCGCTCAGTGGAGTTAGAGAATTCAGGGGTAAATCCGGCCCTTTGTGGTGGATGCCTAAGGATATTTCAGGAGGGATTCCAGAGGTACGGCTGTTAGCGAGTGCTTGGAGTGACTGTGCTTCGCAGTGCCTGCCTGGGCTGCCACAGAGAGCAGAAGTTTGTGCAAAGAGTGAACTTTGTTCCGTAGGGAGAGACCAAGTGCCCTCAAGCACGCGTGTGTGTAGTGAGTTTTTAAAGCGCTCTGAGTGGCCGTGAGGCTCCTACCCTTCTTCTGCGAGTTGCTGTTATTTTCTCTATCGCCTGTTTTTGTGAAGTGCAACCACAAAGCGTTGCCAAGTGCGAAGCTTGGGGTAGAATTAATGACCTAAACACCAAAGTGTCTGAAGACCCATTTGGCAATGAAACTGGACAAACGTTATTAAACCTATCAGTGATTTAAAGCTTCAAAAAGAAGGTAATGACTTGAATACACATTTCACTCATCATTCTTGAGATAGTGGGGCCAGATTTAATTTAAAAGTTAAATGCTTTGGAAAATCAGGAATTACTTCAATATATTAAATCATTTTCCAATTAAGTTCCTTAAATCATTTTTGGTGGGTTGCACTGCAAATCAAATAAATTAATTTAGAAAGTCATTCTCAGAATTTCTTTACTAGCTGGTTAAAGCTTCTTTTAAGTCATGCCATGTATGAGGGAGCAAACTGTTCTTTTTAAATGCAAATGAGACACTCATTCAGTAGACAAGTTGCAACTCTTCTATTTCACTTTGCCTGAACTGATAATGTACTTAAAAATGCACAGTCATAAGACATATGTTTTATGCTTGGAAAAGACTTACGAGGAATGGTTCACATAGGACACTGAGCATAGGATGAATGTCTCTATCAGACGTCTTTGCCACTGACCGTCGATTATGTTAAATGGACGGGGTAGGTTTGCTAGGCCCCTGAGAGGCGAGTGCTTGCTGCACATTTCATTTTTCACCCCCTTCACTCTCTTCCGTCGCCCAGCATGATTAACATTGCTGTGAAAACTTATCTGACTTGTTCTAAACATGTAGTCATGTTGCAGTATTGCTCTGTCACTCATGTGCGCGCTGGGTGCGCGGGCCGTTTGCAGGGAGGCCCACAGAAATTTGTGTTCAGGAAGTTTGCACTTGGCCTGTGCTAGGAAAGGAGGAGATGAGGGCAGGCGAGCGATGGATGCATCTTCTGGAGTAGAGTCTGGGTTGATAGTTGTTTAGCTGTGACTAAATGCTGCAGAATTCTTCCAGAACCAGAGCTTGTTCTTGCAAAGTTACCAAAAACTTACTTTGAGCGTGGATGCTGGATTTGTCCCTTGTTTTCATAGTTGGGGGAGTTTATTTAGGATGAATGAGGAAGATTTTCATAAACTTTGTGTGTACTTGAGCTGCCAATAGTTTGGAATGTATCCCGCAAATACTTAGGCTTTTAAGTTTTGTAAATGTTCTCCTAATTCTGGGTTTCTTTTCCTCATCAAATGATTGTTTATAGCATACGAGTTCACAAATCTGGAGCTATTGACAGTGCATTTTACAGCAGTCAAATGAAAATGCAAGAGTGTAGATTCAAACAGTCCCATCTTATCTGACTGTGTTCAGCTGGCGGCCTTTGTTTCAGGAGACTGCTTAGATCTTTAGTTTGTAAACCTAAAACAACATTCTCAGCATCTTAGCCCAACATTTCTCCCTGTGCTGTGAAAGCTCATTATCCCGAGCGTATATTGCTCTGCAGGCTTTTCCTCGCGTCGCTCCTGTTACCCGTGGAGGGAGAAAAGTGAGAGAACAATGCAAACAATGTTGGTTATGACAACTGTGCGAGGTATCTCTTATACAAACAGGCAGACCGGCCGGTATGTTGCTGCATGTAGGTCAGCCTTTGAAATAACAGTGGAGCTCTTAGGCTGGACAGGCAGATTTAGGGTTGAGGTTAGTCCTGGTTACCTCTCAGAGCTTGAGGAGTAATTGCATTTTGGATATTTACAGGCTAACAAGAGCAGTCTGCTCAGTTGAAGTTTATTTTAAGAAGGATCTCTTTCCTTAATTGAGATGAGTGTGTTATAAAAGAAATAACTTGCATAATCAGAGTGTATTAGTTCAATAGTAGAATATGGTCAGGGATTTTGAAGGACTGGAAGAAATCAGATTAAAAGTTCAAATGTTTACGGAGAGAGCAATAAATAATTTTTTTTTTGCTTTCCTTATTGAAGTGTCACCCCTAAAGATTGCATCTGTCAGTACTTTAAGAAAAATAGGTATATTTTTATACTTGAAGTTTTACAGTGTTTTCAGATATCTTCTCCCATAAAGTGCAGTTACATAATTATAGTTTGACACAGCTAATGACTGGGATGCTGACCCCTGCCAACAGTGGGGAGAAAATAATGGTCTTTACTGCTCCCAATGGTTAGCTGTGCAGAATTATGCACTAGGTTCTTCTGTGATTTGCTACCTGATTCAAAAATAAAGGCGCCTACAACTCATATTTCTTGTACTCGCTGGTAGTTGTCAATGCAGTGGAAAAATACAGCCAGACAGCAGCGTTAAAGTGATAGACTACAGTTGTTTTTAAAAAGAGGGACACAGAAAAAAAGAACAAAAAAAAGAGTGAAGAGGAAGCAAAACTCACCAAAATGAAAAAAAAAAAGCAGAGTAATACTGGACAAAAGCGGATAGGGAGGTACAGTACAGTTCTTTGAATACTGCTGGTAGCTAGAATTGCATGGGCTAAAAATACATATATTTTCATACAGCTTTTCGAGTAATTTACTGTGTAAACTTAACCCCACCAGAGAGAGTACTCTGCATAAAATCCTCCATGACTGTTTACAAAGTGGACATTGTTTCCAGTGGCTCGCTGCTACCCGCTGTATCTCCGATATTCAGAAACAAAATTTGGGAAAGCCAGCACTCTGAAAGACAGTTGAGTTGTTGTGGTACTAATTTGGCAGAATTTTAGTTTATGCTGACATAATACATGCAGCATTTTTGTATTTTTTCTATTTTCCCATTTAGATAACTGTCCTGTCCCCTGCTATGTTAAGACCAGATTTGAAAAGTGTTGGTGCTTCTTTAGGAAGATATTAAACAGTGACATTACTTAAAGAAAAGGTTAAAAAGTTACAGTGTCGATCACTGATTTTTATAATAACCTTTAGTTAGTTTCAAAAATACTGCATAGAAAGAAGTAAGATGAACTTTTATTTCATGGGTGATTATACCTTACTGAGACTGCAGTCTCAGAAATACGGGCAAACCTCAAATATGTCTTAAATCCTTAAATTCCAGTGTTTCAGAAAAGCTGTCGTCCCAGTTTTAGTGGAATATAGAAACTGATTTATGGGTATGCTTTTGAGAAATCCTTGTACTGATGTGTTACCAACCCAAGTATTCACGACCATTCTGCCTTTTTTGGGGAGGGCCGGGGGGGGAGCGAACCTAAGTACTTGGAGAAAAAAATAGATTTTACTTTTTTTTTTTTTTTTTACCAGAAAGAACATGTTTTATGTTCAGCACATTACCCACAACCAGCCTCTGATGAGGTCCACTAAAAAAAAGGGAAAATGACAGAAGATTAGGAATGCTGGATTTGAAAGGCGCTACGGTGGGGCGCCTGCAGTAGTGGTCGCGTTGAACCAACGGGCGGTTGCAGGAGGGACCTGCTGCTGGGCAGCCTGGGCAGCCTCGGTGCCCGCCGAATTCAGAGTGTCTTGGGGGTGGTCACACTTCAACAGGAGGAGCTGGGCACCCTCCTGTCCTCAGCTTCCCGTTTTAGCAGCACTTCTTCCTAACACCGCACAGAAGCGTGAGAAGATTATTTTGATTAAGTAAAGCAATGTCCACGGTATGATTTAGATCCAGTTGGGTATTTACATCTTGTATCGATGACAGAT